ATCACTTCCCCCCGCCTAAATGGGTACGTTTTACTTTAAATCTATTTTTAAATCTATTAATCTTATTTTGTCCTTAGGAAAAAAATACGTACGCTTATTTCAATGTGCTTTTCTAAAAATCTTTCAGTGATATTAAAGCAGTTTGTCCTAATCTACACATCTAGGTGTTAATATGTATTTTTATGATGGACATGGTGCTTTACATTCACATCTCTTTGAAGGCAAGCTCTAGAAAATTATACACCTGCACAAGCTGTAGACATTTTTATGAAACCTATTTCTGAAAATTGGTATTCCCATCAAAATACCACATTGAGATGGGATATGGAGTTTTTATAATATTTAATCAGATAGTTTGGCTCATGTAGTTAGGAGTCTAGCTTATGAATTGCTTCAGAAACAAATATGTAAGCCAGATACATATCATTCCCATTTCACAGGTGGAAATAGTGAGGCGTGGTCCCAATGAGACCCACCTCCTGGCAATTACATTAAATAGCCATGTGCTCAAATTTTTTGGACAATCAGACAATAAGGACTTCATCAAAGATTGGGATGGCAGATGTGGAAAATGAAATACACTCTTTTTACACCAGCTGTAGTGTCAGTAGGCAGTCAGACAGATTGCACTTGAATTTAGCCCTTCTCCAATTATTCACCAAGAGAGAAAACTGTTTGCAGAAGCATAGGGCAGGAATAAAAAAAAATAAAGACTAATAATAAGAAATAGTTCTATGGGCATATCAGGACTTTGGTAAAATTACATGCTGATATTTTAGGACATTCCCAGTTCTCTAATAAATTAAAGATTAGACCACATGTGTGCCTGAAATCAGAAAACATACTTTCGTCTACTAGCACAACATCTGCTGATCTGGTAATACCTGCCCTGAAAGTCCTATATATGAACCTAATAGAATTTTGCTCTTTTAAGCCTGCAACACTTCTGCATACCTTTCCATAATTTTAACTTCTGTTTTAAATCAGTAGGAAGAGGCATTTTTGCCTAATATGCTGGGGTCAATTTAAGTAATAATAAGTACAATCAGATGCAGTAAGAAGTTTTCTATTTAACTTACATATAATCAATATGCTTTATGGCACCAGCTTTTGCTATAGGTGTAGTAGCTGCATATTTTTATATCACTTTTTAATACAAACTTCCTTTACAGCATGAGAAAATTATTTTCTCTTTCAAAGAGCCAAAATGCATTTCTAGTGGTTTAGTAAACAGAACTACAACATACAGAAACATAAGTTTTGTTAACATCTAATTCAAGACTTCACATAATAAACAAACTACCCCCTATAATTTTTCTCATCCTTTTTTAAATAATCACGAGGAAAAAACAAATAAGAAAGCAAAACTTCTATTTTTTCATCAAGATAACCTGAATGCTAGCACCATGTTTTTTCTTCTAGAAATGCTATTAATATTTTGTACCAATAAAATGCTAGTAATGATATACTAACAAAATGAAACTGCTTTGAAGAATTAACATTATACGTAGTCAATGGAAACAGTTTCTAAGCAATAAATTCCCATAAAACATTTAAAAAATATTATCTTGGTAGCATTGACTTAATGAATGCTCAAAATGCAAGCTCAAATCTACCCTGTAAAGCAATCATGGTTTTTTAGCAACTATTTTGACCTTAGTGACACAAACAATTAATTCTACAAACTTAATATAAAAATAAAATTCTACATCTAATGCAGAATAATCTTTCAATGTATTTAATCAAGGATATGCTTTTTTTTTTTTTCATGTATTATACATTCTAGTATCTAACACTGATTTTAACATACAAGGAGAAAAATGAAAGTGAAAAGCTCAGAAGCATCTGAATGTACACATACAAGACAGAATGCTCACCGTAAGAAGAAACAAGTCTGGGCAGATTACACTTTGCATCATATTGTCTAAATAAAATTGTACATTCACTTTAGCAATATTTATAAATCTATAAATATCAACAGCAAGATAAGAAGTTGTTTACGTCCTAGTCATACATCTTCAAAGCTGACCTGATGACTTGTGACAGCACCCAATCCATTTATCACCAAGTATATATTACAATATATTGTAGAATTACTGTCATTCTCTCTTGATACATGGATGAGAAATAACTCCCCAATTTAAGCCGAACTTCTCATGTCTATATAAAGACCACAACAACATAGTTCATCAAGAAAATAATAGGAGTGTCCGAGCTCCATATAGTTGCCTACAAGAACATAATAAAATCTGTTTTATCTTATTTACTTTCTATAAATCCATACATATATAACTTAAAAAAATTAACTTATTCTAGTTGGTCTTGTATATAGTCTAAAATTTCTCTTGTTTAACTTTCCCCAGTAAATATTCATGCCACAGTAAAAACTTATTTTGTGATTTTACTCAGCTAATAAACCTGTTCTTAAGCATTAGCATCCCTTTACATAGCTGCCCAGTTGAAGGAAATTACTAAAACCAGCAATCATTTATTTGCTTCCTTTAGAAAAAGCTATAAAAAACTTGATTTGTCTATTTGAAGACTCACAATGAAATGATTCAGAGAAGCCAAATCCAGAATGTTAAACCATGAGTACATCTTGCACATATTTAAACAATAAAAAAAAAATCTTAAGAATAATAATTTCTAGGGTTTCCTCTGTTTTTCTGTGTGTCAAAGTTTTCCAGACAAGTCACATATTACAAATACCATTTTAGAGAGTTCATACAGTGACAATAATAAAAGCAGCCATCATTTTCCTCTTAATTCATATTTCAAAAGGCATCTGGTCAAAAACAGGGGAAGAAAAAGAAACAGAAAAAGGAGAAAGCAAAGCAAAAGTAGCACAAAGCTATGCTGAAGGACATCCTACCGTATGTTTACTACTGTTTATGTTTCACATCAACATATTTTATAGAAGGATTCATATGCCTAACTCAAGTTGTATTTAAATCCTATGGTGCAGACCCTACCATAAAATGCCTCTTGAGTCCTATTAACTGTACCCATGGTTTTACTTTGCCTGTCTGCTTATTTAAGATCTAATCACAGTTTTGAAGAAAAGATTGTCACTTCTAAGCCTGTCCCCTCAGAACCTGTCTGTTATTAGTACTCAACTGGATATTTTCATCTTCAGTTGTAATTCTCTGTGGTCTTTGCAAATGCCATCTACCAGAATCTCTGGCTGTATGGACAAATTGGCTACACATGCCTAGGACTGCTACTTTGAGAAACACGTAAGTGGCACATTATTCTATTAGCATTTTTGTGTTTTAAACTACTTCACTTAAATTTAATTTTCTAAACATATTCACCAATTTGATGCACTCTTTCTCAAAAAAGATTTTAAAATTCTGTTATAATCTGAACACTTGAATAAAGATGATGGCATGATTTTCAATGAAAACAATATTAAATTTTTATGTTTCCTTGTGCGTATACAATTTTACATGAAAAGAGTATAAAAACACAAGGTGTGTATATATATACATATATATATATACACATAATCATGTATATATAGAGAGGTAAAAACCTGCTAAGAACATAATAAGGACACTGAAACCTGTATTTCTTCAGACTGTCATACTGTAAAAGCTCGATTGCTAAAACAGAATACACTTGAATTTGAAACAAGGCACGGATTTAAGCCTTAACAACTTCTCATATTTCAATCTACAACTATTTCCTTCTTCCACATTTTCTGTCACCATTTAAAATATTTAACTATAAACGTAGCTAGTGTACACTGCTTAATTCAGCACTAAAAATTACTCAATTTTAAGAGCTATTATGACCTGTTATTTCAGAGGCCCGTGCACATGCAATGTATCTATCATGTTAAAACATGTTTCTATAAAACAACGTTTTTATAATATTTTATCTAACAGAAGACAACTTTCCTTCCATTAATGTAATAACCTGACATTGTAATGAAAAACCGCAGCATTTAAAATTAAGAGTTCGAACTCCAAAGGTGCTGAGTGGGCTCAGCAAATGAAAGGATGAGGCAGCAAAGACTTTCAGGAGTTTGAAGCAGGTACTGGGCACTCTGCAGAATCAGACCTCAAAATTAGGTTGTTTACCAAACAGTTTGGGCTTCATGCATTAGCACAATCTGTGCTCACTGATGGAAAGGCAGCTCCATTGGTAAACAAAGCAGGAGTTTAGTTTGTTCAGGTTTTAAAAGGAAATCTTACAGCGACAAAAGTTAATGGATTGCATCTTGTAATTAGGTGGTGTCAGCAGCCCAAGAACGGTTGAATTTTACAGTTTTAAACATAACAGCAGCTCTCCATTAACTTGTTCGGAGCACAAACAGACAAACTTAAAAAATACGAAAAATATGTTTTCAAAATGAGAATGGAAACAGACCTTCAGAAAAGCTGCTTCTTCTCTTTTCCCATGTTTTCGAAATTACACATCCATATTACAACTCACACACACGCAAGCGCACAAAGGCAGGAACACTGCCTTTTTTATTTCAGTGCTTTTGAACTAACCAACATTTAATTAAACCTCTGACAGCAAAGGATCTTTATTGAGAAAAGTCACTCTGGTCCCTTCACTAGGGTCCCTTCACTGCCCAGCTCTGACTTTGGCACAATTCACTGCAAGCGAAGCAAAGTCTCAACTAATGTGGCCCTCTGGTGGAAAACCTCGCACCACGTCCTGCACGCCCGAATCGCACAGTAAACTAACAGCTCCTGAAAACATTGCACTGCAAGGCTTCGGCACAACTTTTATAAATACGCAGCGGGATTTTAATCACCAGGCAAGCGTGGTGGCATGCAGCCATATCAGCAAGATGTTGCTGCCACAAGAACACGATCCTTCCATTTCAGCATTATCGTGCACTAAAACAACAGTAAATAATGCCCCGTGCTCTTCACTTCCACGACACTCCACATTCAGCACGCACCGAGGGTCTCCAAAAAGGTGCCCCTCTGAAAACAGCCCTTTATTTGTTTAAAAACAAACAGGAAACAAAACAAACTTACCTGCTGTTGTTGCAGATGCAGCAGTTCTACTGTGCTTACTTCAGTGCTCGTGTCACCACTTGATCTTCCATCTCTGCTGCCAGCATCTAATTGGCTGCTTAGAGTGCTCATTCCATTTTGATTCATTGAACTGTTGCTTATTGTCTCTGTCGCAGATTCCTGCATCATGACTTAATACCTAAAAGTGATTAAGAAGTATCAATTAACACACGCGTTACACCTTCACACTTCCATTATCAAGATGTCCCTCTCTGCCAATTACACAGACAGCATCTTTAGAAGAAGAAAAAAGCCTCGCAGAGCCGTTTACCAAGAAATGCAATGCAAACTCTGCTTTCATACAGCTGCTAATCACTGGAATTATGATTTCTATAAGCAAGCTTTGTGTGCTTACATTTAACGGCCAAAATAACACACCATGCACGCAGCATGGTCAATAGCATTTATGAACGACTACGTTTTAAAGTCTACCTATAAAACCAGTTTAAGTGAAGGCACGATTTCACACACTGCTCTATATTTCCTATTATCTATCTTTGACAACCATGGATGACTATACAGCCTTATTTAAAATATTCACTATCTTGATTCTGTCAGAATTTTACAGCATATCTTATGCAAGGCTGTTGTTTAATGATGCACAGCTAATCATACAAAATTAAAATTTTGTAAGGGTGTTACAAATCATATGGTATCAACCAATGATAAATAGTATAATGGGCTTCTCGTTTTTTGTGACTAAATAAAATTTTGCCTCGGAGGCATTTTAAGAAAAAGCTCCTGCTGCAAACACGTCAGATATTGCCTATTTTTTTAATCAAACGCCTGATATTCATTTATTTTTCTGACATTTAAAACATTTAATACTGTCCTTCCTGGGAAGTAATTAAGCTTATGCATGAGCAGCAATCAAACTGTTCACTTGAAGATGACTTAAAACTCAATTTTAACATAGGCAAATAAATGAAAGATATAAAATTAATTTTCCAGGCATGTATTAGATATGAAAGCTGGAAATAAAATCTATCAAGAATATCACTAATGATTGTGCTAAAAACAGCATAAATTATGCATATTACCTTCTCTACAGTAATAAATGTTTTATCATTTTCACTGCATAAATATACTGTACTTTCAGGATAGCAATGAGATGTCCTGCCAAGATCAGTTGAAATCTTTGCAGTAAATAAAGAACCAACGTGCCCTTACAAACCAGAATTTCAAGGCGCATTTTGTATCTGTAATATGGAAAGGTCAGCGTCTCTTCTCAGAGCCACCAAAGTCCTCTCCTGCTCTTGCAGGGTCAGAATGGAGCTCCCTTCCTTCATCCTCACTCCCGACCCACTGACGAGTCCTCACAACAACCTGGCTGAGCTGTGATTTAAAAAAAAACACCTCTGAAGGGAGAGGGATGTGTAAGCAAACTCGGGAAAGGAAACAAAGCTTGCTGTTTAGCCTAATTATTTAACTTAGCTATTTTTTCCTTTGCAAAGTATGAGCAACTGCCTAGCCTTGAAAAAAAAAAAAATAAAATAAAAAAGGCAGGAGAAGAATCATTACAACTTCAACTGTGCGCATGGGGTACTAATTAAAATGCAGTATGAATTACCACAAACAAGCTCCTACAAGACATAGCAAAAGTATATATTGTGTGAAAAATGTTAAAATAGCAAAAGATGAGTTATTTAAGGATGATCTGTTCAGAGATAAACAGGATGCAAAAAACCTAAACACAAACACAGTTACCATAAAGGAGAGCAGCTGTTACAGCCCAGTAAACAACAGCAGCACCAGATGTGTTTATGAAGAAACAGTCCTTCTAAAACACTTATGAACATCAGCGAAGAAAAATAATAGAAATGGAAAATGTGATACAAGCAGTGATGAATTTTACAAGGCAAAAACAAAGCTAATACTCTTTTCTGAGATTAGGCAGCTAATAAGTATTCAAATTAGGCATAAATTTTACATGTACAATGTTTAAAATATTCAGAGAAAAGGGTCTGATTGCCCTTAGTAGTTATATGAAAATTCTAATGTGGATATGCCACAACTGTGGAAGCAGACAGCCCTTTCTGATTTTTACAATATTTACTTTCAATAAAAGGACATGTATATCAGAGTGGAAATTTATTTAAAACTTCATCAGCTGTATCGTTACAAGGATTTGGAAATTTGGGAAATTCAAATGTTAATCCTCTTTTAGTCAAACAAAGATTTAACCAACAGACAGGTTCATCTTTTACAAATTCAAACGTTAGACAATAACAGTGGTACATTTAGCCAAGCACATTAAAAGGGCAAAGGGGTGTAAATGTTAGATAATCAAAACATTACAAAACACCTAGAAATGTAATGAATAAATACATCATCCCTCCTGTTTTTACATCTCTCTGACTGTTTCATTGCAATTAACAAAGAAGGGTTAAATGTCTTCCAGTTCACATTAACCAAAGGGTTTTATGTCTTGTGGATTTTGTATCCTTGCAAAGCCCCAGAGTGTAGTTCAGGCTCTACATTTAAAGTTAAAGTGCCTGTGAGCCAGCAGAATCGGCTTTAACGTAACCTGACCAATACCACTACTCTGGCAATAGAAAACAACAAATCCGATCCAACAGCTGGGTACAGACAGAATGAAACTACAGAGTAATAACACTAGAAAGGACTATTTCTTTTGAAGTGAAGACACACTGAAGTATTTTTATGAAGAAAAAAGAGACCCTATAATTTCATGTTAAAAATAAAGTGTGTGTGGGGGGGTGTTCCTCTAGTTTTAAAATGGTATTTTAAAAAACAAACTAAAACTTCGGCTAGAGTAATGCACTGTGTTGGTTGTCCTCACTGTCGGCAACTGAAAAAGAGCTACTAGAGAAAGCAGAAGCATAAAATATTTTTCTTTTCCATTCTTTTCTCTTTCATAGACATACATATATTCGTGAGTCTATGCACTTGTGTGTGTATGTACTATCAACTCTAAACCCCACAAAGTGAAGCACTGAATGTATCTAAACAAGGAACATGTCTATGTATCAGTAACTTATTGGCAGCAAAATAATTCGAACCTGCAACATCTCACTGAGCAAACTAATGTACTTTTTTCCTTGTTTTTGTAACAGTAGTGCAGACTGTTACCAAAATAAGCATAAATAAACACAAAGGAAATAGATGGGTATCAGCCAGATACTAAGGCCGTAAGTTTGGTAATTCAAACAGGACAAGAAAAAATATACCGGTCCCTGTTTACATACATTTATACACATTCATACTTTCTAATCCTTCTCTTTTCTCTTGCTGTCACACTCGCTGTCAGTCATGAGCATGCCTACACAGGCACACATGCACACAAGCACCCACATTCACAGACACATTCACCAGCACCTACTTCTGTTGTGATTCTCTAACTCTTGGTGCCAATGGTGGGATATAAGTTTTCCTACCCGGCATTTGAAACAAAGGTATGGGGAAAATATTTGCTGCTGTCTGCAAGAGAGAGTGAAATTGTAAATCATTTTAGAGCTGGGTTGCACTGCAGGTTGAGTACTTAATCCTGCCAGGGTAGCCAAGCTATCACCCACACGGAAAAAAAAAGAAATACTCCACCTCGTTGAGTTAGAAGCTACAGTTTTACTTTTCTCCCCTGCAGTGAACTGGACATTTTCTGCGCGCCCAGGCGCCCGCACGTGCACGCGTGTGTGTTTTAAGGCAGCAAGTCACTGTACAGATACTTATTCTCTACACCACTTCCCTTTTGAAACATTAAACTGACACTGGAACTGACTGCACAAGATTGCATTTTCTCTTCCTAAACAACTTGAATTGAAAGGTTACTTAGTGTAACAATATTTACTTGCAGAATTGTGTTGTTACCAAGGGTATAATGGATGGTGGCTATGCAGGTTTACGCAAGAATGAGTGAAGCATGAGGCATTAGCCATGTGTTTGACATGTTTCAAATTGCTATAATCCAGCATTAAACACACCCAGCAATTCATGCCATTTCTTGCAGCCATAATCTTGAATAAAGCGTGCACAACCACTTATTATATAAATTAGTATATGACTCCCTGTTATAGTCACAACAGTGCTTTTGTGTTTATTTTGCACCAAGACGGGGTCTTTTATTTGTACAAATAGCAGGATAGCGCACCGTGCCGCTATGAAACCTCCTCGGTTTACGACAGGGCGTGTGTCACGCCCGGCTGACGGGGTCTGTGGTGCCCGGCCCGGCCCAAGCCCGGCCCAAGCCCGGCCCGGCCCGGTGGGTGCGGCCCAGGCCCGGCCCGGGGCAGCTGCGAAAGCCGCTAGGGGGCGTCCCGGCCCGCGCGCCTCGGCCTCGGCGTGCCCCGCACGTGCCTCTCACGCGAGGCCCGGCCCGCGCGGAGCCGCGCGTGCCCCGGCAGCGGCGGGCGCTGCCAGCCCCGCGGGGCCGGCGCCGGGAGCGCAGCCGGGCCGCCCGCTGCTGCCGGGCCGGGCCGCACCCCGGGGCCGCTGCTGCCCGCCCCGCACCGCCCCGCAGCCCGGGCCCGCTGCTGCCTGCCCGCCCGTCCCGCACCCCGGACCCCGGGCCCGCTGCTGCCCGCCCGCCCGCCGCGCACCCCGGGCCGCACCCCGGGGCCGCCGCTCTGCCCTGGCCGTAGGGTGCCCACGCTGGGTCATCCACAGACGTGACACACCCGCTTCCCTCCGTAAGACGGAGCCCAGTCTACAGCCTTTTGAAACTGGACTGTGATGTAAAAGCAGAGGTGAGGAGCTAGGCTTAAATAATAGTAACTTTTGTGCTCTGCTGGAATTAATTCATCATTGACACAAGGCACAATGCATCTGAAGTCTTGCGCTGGAGTACGCTAAAAGCCTTTAATACTTAAGATTGCTTAATAAATCAAAATGCCAAATATTAAGGACATAGCTGAATGTGTGAGAACAAAAAATTTGGAAAGCTAAGAGAACATTTGTAAAGGTGTTTTGGTTTCTTTATCTAAAGCAGCTTTCAAAGCTTGAGGTAAGCAGAGACAAGTCACTGCACCATTTCTAAATATTTTTAAAACACTAATGAGGTCAAACACCATTGTAATACTGTAAAATGAAGTATTTTTATTACTAGGTGTAAAATAAATAACTGTCTGGCTCAAATAAGTTTTCCCTGTAAAAATGTGAGAAATGCCCAAATACCTTGTGCTG